ATGGACATAAGAAAAGAAGTATCAATTTATCTTGTCAAATGAATGAATGAAGAGCTATTGGTCATCTTGGTTATTTTCTATTGAATTAAATGCACAGGATATGTCCAGATGATGATGATGATGATGATGATGATAAACATATGAATCTGCATTATGGATTTCGTTACAATCCATACTTTGATTTTTGATTTAATGCCATTTTATTATAATAATACCTGTCTCTTGTCAAATCTTGTGGCATAATTTTCTGTTGTTGTTGTTGTTGTTGTTGTTGTAGTTGTAGTTGTTTTTTAGATGAACCACTCCTATAAAGAGATTTTTTTTCCCCAGTTTCTAAATAGTGATCGAATGATTGGATTGATCAGATTTTTTTTTGATTCATCATCAAATTGATCCATTCAGGAGATTATAATGATGATCAAAAAAAACGGATTTTTTCATCATCATTATCATTTAGATTTAGATGATTGTAAATTTGTATCATAACTTTATCATCATTATGGTCGAATTGATTGTGTTTTTTCATTTCATTTATTTTCGAAACAAAATTACTTTATTATTAAAACAACAACTGGATCTCTAGCACTAATCGCCAGGTCAGCCAAAAAATTGACGGCAATCAGAAAATTACATTTTTCATAGCCGAATAGTGGAATATCAACCTTAGGACTCATAACTTTGTATAGTTTATCTCAAATACAATGGAAAAAGATGAAGAAATGAAAATTCTAATGATGATTTTTCACACAACTGCTGCTGCTGCTGCTGCTGATGCTGCTACTCTCTCTCTCTCTCACACACACACGAACATTGTACAATTGATCATTAATTAAATGTCTTCTTGATCGTTTTTTTTCAAAGATAATTGATTTATAGTCATGATTTTTTTTTTGTTTTTCTTGTTCATACATAAAATGATTATATCTCTCATTCAATCATCATAAAAACAAATTTATTATCATCATTTCTTTTGTTGTTTTGTTATAGAAAAATCTTGATTATAACGAATGCTAATTGTAATTGAATAATTATTGATTAACCAATACATATAGATTGATGATGATGATGATGATAAAAAAAAATTTACAAAATTAATTTTGCCACCACCACCACCACCACCACCAACACAACAATAATAAAACGGGGCCAACCACAAATGAATGTATCCATAATGGGGAAAAAAATTATTCATTTTGCCTCCCTTTTTACATATTTATTTATGAAAATAAAAAAAAAGATAAATTAATCAGACATCTTTTTCTTTGCATTAATATATTCAATTTTATTCATGTAAACAATGTACACACACACACACACACACACAAAAAAAACACACTTGATTGGATTAATTGAAGTGGAATCGTAGTGGTAAAAAAAAAAAATGAATACTTGATTTTGTTTTAATTGATTTGTAAAAAAAAAAAAAATTCATGATGATGATGATGTTGAAGAGGAGGAGGACGAGGAGAAGGAGAAGGAGAAGTAATGTTTTCATTATTTTTCTGTTCTAACTTTATTATTACAGAAAATTTTTCCATTTTTCGCACTATCTTTCCGGTCAACGACGACGATGATGATGATGATGAAGCCAATGACCGTGAATTTTTGAAAAATATGAAAAAAAAAAAATTTTTATTCATGTTTCACTTACCTATAGGTATCAATTAGTGAATTTTTAGGCAGAAAAGAGAGAGAGAGAAAGGTGTGTGCTCTTTTCATTCACTATTCACATCATCATCCGGAATGTAATGTATTATATGTAGCAATGATGATGATGATGATGTGATCGTCTCAGACAATTAAACACATGGTATCATTGTGAATGAATAAATGAATGAAACAAACAGCATTTAGATTGTCATCATAATCATTGTGACATGACTCAAGATAATGATGATTAGCTTATTTATATGAAAAAGGAATTCATGAATAGAATGTGTGTGTGTGTGTGTGTAGTATATAAGAATCCTGTTTCCATTTAATATATGATCATCATAATGATGAAAGTGTATGAAAATAGAAGAAAAAAAACAAAAATTCAAGTTGTTCAAGTTCATGATCATCATCAAATTACTTAATCATCATCATGAGTATGTCGTTATTATTTTAGTTTCATATTTCCATGATGATGATGATTATGACATGTGTATCATGTGTAATAAATACGTTTTTTCTATGGTCATTATCATCATCATTTTTTCATTCACATCCATCGTGTCTATATTATTTCATTTTTTTTCTTCATTGGAATAACCCATTCAAAAAAAAATTTTGAACCGGAATTCCTTATTATATCCAGTTTACTATGTGTATGTAATAACACACAAACCCAAAAAACAAAGTAAATGGTCAATCAACTAATTCAGTAGTGTTATGTGATTCGATTGATTTGAATGATGGTGATGATCGATAAAAAAATAATTCCCAATAACAAGTTTATCAAATTAAACTATATTTTACAACCATTTCAAACATGATGGTTTGTTTCCGTTTGTCTATTGAACAAAAAAAAAAAATAAAGATCAAATCCATTTGGGTTTGTTGTGTGTGTGTTCAATGAATTAATTATACATTTTTTTCCTTTATGTAAAGGAAATTGAATCAAATAATAACCACTACTATATGGTGATGAACAGAAAACAGCAGCAGCAGCCGCCGCCATTGCCGCCATCGTCGTTGTTGCCATGTTGATGATGAACAACGACAAGTTTGATGATGTATGAAATTGGCCAAAAAAAAAAACTCTCACATTTTTCTGATGTTTGTATTTGATGATGATGATGATCATTTTTTTTGGCAAACAAAAAACCCATACACTGACATTGTATATATAGCATGTGTCATGACATTGTGTGTGTTTGTGTATTGTATAACAAAAATGTCAAACAATATTGTTTCAATCAACCAAAAAAAAAAAACTATTGATCATCAAACGTTGTTGGAACAGAGCAACTGCGTTTTTCTGGTTATTGTTGTTGTTGTTGTTGTTGTTGGATCACATAGAAAGAACAAAAGATCTATTTGAACAACGAAAAAAAAAGAGACAGCCAATGAATATATTTGGTCCACACCCCACATACGTATACGCACACACAACAGTCCTATCATTGATCATTTTTTTTTTCTACCACTACAACTTCGAACAAATATTTCAAATAACGAATAAATTTTTTTTTTTTTTTTTTTTTTTTTGGGTAGACAAACACTCTACGGAATGAAACCAGTTTTTTTTGCAAAATTTTTTCTCATCATCATTCGTGATGACCAAAATGGCCAAAATCAAACTAGCTAGCTAGCAACAACACTAAACCAATCAACCAACCAACCAACCAACCGACCGACCGACCGACAGACCAACCAACCTCATCTTTTCTTCATTGAATAATGAAGATGATGATGATTTTTCTATTTGTGCACATGAGTGTTCTGTATGGATGTATGTATATATTCTATAGCTATAACCTCAAAAATAAGGTTGGGCCAATAAATAATTGGAATACGCCCATTTGCTTCATTGATTATATCGTATAGCGGGTTTGGCATTTCACACACACACACACACACACAATGTATATATGGATATATACAACCAACCAACAAAAAAACGAATGAATTTTGCAATATATAAAACTTTCAATAGAGATGTATGAATACCGTGAATGAAAATAAAGATGATGATCATCATCATCTTGATGATGATGAAGAGATGAAAATATTTTACATGGGAAATAGAAAGAGAGAAATTGCTCTTTTACATACAAACAAACACCATAGGAAAGAGAGAGAGAGAGAGAAAAAGAAAATTTTTCAAATATACACAATTTATATACCACCACCAAAAAGGAAATAGCCTGTATATATATATATGTGTGTGTGTGTGTGTGTATATATATGGTATAAGTATTCAATCATTGAATTTTTCATCGCTGTTGTTGTTGTTGATACAAAATTCATTCATTTTCATATATTAAACCTTTAAAACATATGGTTGAAAACTGATATATTGATCAAATAATAAATGAATGAAGAAGCGCTTAATTCAGGTTATTGCTTCTACCCATCTATACATCAACCATATATATCACAATCAATTTTACCTTTCATATTCAACAAGCATTGTGTGTGTGTGTGTGTGTGTGTGGTATCTAAACGATTTAATATGTATTATGTTATTATTATTATTCTTTTCATCAAAACATTTGAAGATAATAATGATAACAACCAACAATATTCGTCGCTGCCCGCACAACCAGATAGATATACATGAATGTGATTGACTTGACTTGACTTGACTCCTTCTTTCATTATATTATCAATATATGTTCTTCTGTTTTTCTTTCCAGGAGAGAATATAGCCATTAAATCGTCGTCATCATTATCAACAACATTCGACAACAACAACAACAACAACTACAATCTGGCATCTTCATTTCCATTCCAAACGTTTTCAAAAACGCACACACACACACATACAATAACAACACAATTTCCAGCTGCAACTAATCCTCAGCAATAACCGATTTTCAATTTTGAAATAAAAAAAATTTCTGCCTGTGTGTGTGCATGTGTGTGTCAACATGGTCAACTAAAAAATTTTCCATAATTTTTTTCCCCTTAACAAAAAAAAAATTCATTTATTGTAAAATTTCAATTATCAATGATCTCTTTCCTCATCATCATTAAATTTGATTCTCATCATTATCATCATCATCATCGTCGTCGTCGTCGTGGTCGTCGTCGTCGTTAATTTGATTTGAACATTGTGTGATTAATTTAATTGGCCATTTGTGTTTGTTGAAAATTACACAGAAATTTTGATTGTTTTTTTTTTTGCTTTCTGTGTTTGATTTGATGTTATTTTTTTTATTGATTTTTTTCCATTTGAAAATTATCGATTGATTGACATTTACAACATTTGGTTACGACATCAACAACAAAGATGATGATGATGGTGATTTGAACATTATCATTATATACATTCCAGATTTATTGCTATTTATTTGTTGAAAATTTTTTTTTTTTTGCATCAATAATCTTGATCAGGTTTTCTAATATCAACATATTAGAATCCTGATCATAATTGAAAACGGTCAAAATTTGGTTCTACGAGAATTTATTTGGGCCATATTTGCTTCTAAAGCAAAGAAATAACATGGCTTTAGATGTATCATCAAGAAATTCATCATTATCTACATCAGAATCATCATTTAATCATCATCATTCATCATTTCAATCATTGATGGCCGCTGCAACAGCAACAACAACAATGGCCACCAATAACCCGATCAATAGTGGTTCGATTGAACATTTACTAAGTAATTATTCATCACAGGTCCATAACCACCACCACCACCACCACAACAACAACAATCAACAACAGCAATCACAACAGTCAACAATAACAACAGCAACAACTAAGTCAACGATGGAGGACGCAACTTTATTTTTAAGGGCAGCTGCTGCAGCTGCAGCCGCTGCCGCGGCAGTGTCCACCTCTGAAAACGCGGTCTCACCTTGTCCAACAACAACAAGTTCCTTGCCAGAATCACCAAAGTCATCAACAACACCAATATCACCTTCGTCACTTGTTCAACAGACATTGAACGAATCAGACGATAATAATATTGTTGTCAACACAGCAATCACAATGGGACGACCAGGATCGATTTCACCACCACAACCATTAGCATTGACTGGCCATCATAATCGAAATAATCAGCAAAATTTTTTCCAAAATCAATGCCATAATAATTCTCATCATCAGATACGAGTGAAAAGTCCAAAAAGTCCACCAACGGCTCATCAAGGATCATCACCATTGGAAAAATTACAAAGCCTTAGTCCGAATACTATAAATCTTTCATCTTCAACATCATCATCATCATCATTATTAACAACAACAGCATCGGCTACATCACAAACAGTAGCCGCTGTACAGGCAGCTGTTGCTGCTGCTGCAGCAGCAAATTCCATTGTTGAACAGACAACACGTGCATTGAAATTCTCTATCGATAATATTCTATCACCAGAATTTGGCCTAAATAAAAATGATTTAACAAGCCGTAGCCTATTCTATGCTTATTATCAACAATTTCAAGAAAAATATTCCTGTTTTAATTTAGTCAAATCATCAAATAATAATAGCAATAATCATCTGAATCAACAACAACAGCAACAGCAACGATTAAATATTAGTGGCCATTTTCATCATCATCATCATCATCATCAAAATTCTGTTAAAAATAATTCCAACAACAACAACAATAACAATCATCGTAATAATAATAAAAATAATAAACATTCATCATTCGATATAAACGCATTGGTTTCAACGAATGAAAGAAAAACAAAAAAACGTAAACGTTCCGATTCTGAATGTTCATCAATTAGTTCATTAAGCAATACATCAACCAAAGAATTATCATCATCATCACAAAGTATTAATACAAACACCAATAATATTGTTGATCATCATCATAATAATAGTAGTAAAGATTCATCGACAACAACAACAGCGACATCGAATGAATCAAATGAACAATCTGGTAAAGAAGTAACATTGGAAGAAAAAGCAAAACAACCGGTTCTATGGCCAGCATGGGTTTATTGTACCAGATATTCTGATCGACCATCATCAGGTAAGCAAGAATTTTTTTTTTCGTTTTCGTTTTCGTTTTATTTTTTTCAAATGAATTGAATTGTTTTTGTATTGGTATTTATATTGATTGTTGATGCAAAACCAAAATTCTATACAACAAAAAATTAAAAAAAAAATCAGTAAGAATCAATTAGCCATTTTGAAAATGATAATCTTAATCTTTATCTTTATTTGATGATTTGTAAAATGTGTAATTTATGACCTTTTTTGTTGTTGTTGTTAAATGTCAGTTTCTCACTTGTGATGTTGATTATCAACCACACACACACACACACACACACACTGATGACATTTGTTCAATTCATAAAAGCTACCTGTGTGTGTGTGTGTGTGTGGCATACGGTGATTGTTTGTTTCACATTTTTATTATTATTACTAGATTATTCACGGTATATTTATATTATTCGTGGTCAAATTTTTGTTGTTGTTGTTGTTGTTGTTGGCATTCATTTCATTCATACAATGGGAAAATTTTTTTTCCTTTGTGTGCGTGTGTTTATGTGTGTGTGTTCACGGCCCAGGACTGTTATATCTATTGAGATGGTCCATCTTCCCATTGAATTTTTGAATTTTTTTTGCTAATAGCTCTAGCTTCACATTGGTTTATCTTTTATTTGACATTCATGTATTTTTTTTTATCGTATTGTATTCTATTGTATAAATCGCGTACCGTTTATCTCAAAATTACACTCATTCAAATCCTAGGTCCATTTATATAAACGTTTGTATGGTGTTTGTGTTTCTCTCTCTCTCTCTCTCTCTTCTCTCACTTTCTGTGCTTGATGTATCCAAAAAGGCGTAAAAGACCACATTGAAAAAAAAGTCAAAACACACACACACACATATGGCACCTTTTGATTGATGATTATGATGATGATGAAGGGACCGCACACAAACTTTGGCTTTCTCTCTCTCTCTATTGACCCAATAGAAAAGTCTCTATTGGCCAAACCAAAAAAAAAATGGTCGTACGACTTGGTACCGTTTTTATTTTCAACTGTTGTTGTTCACACAGGCTGCTAATAATGAATGAATGATAAAGATGAAGACCTTAATCATCATCATCATGATGAACTTTTATCATTTTTTAGGACAAATCAATTTTTCTTTTCTTTCTTCAAAAAAAAAATAGAGCATTAGGATTATAATTCCGGGGACTATTGAATGAATTTTTTTTTTTGAAAAATTAATTTATTATTGAACAAGATATCTTCTTTGTCATCGATTTTTTTTTTTTTGTTCAGCCGCACACATTTCATTCATTCAATTTTCTATTTTGTTTGCCATTTGACTTTTGTCCCAACAACATTCATTTTAGTGATACTGGCAACATTGATGATCTGCATGTTTATCTTCATTGTCTGTCTGTCTGTCTATGTGTGTGTGTGTGTGTGTGTGTTCTATTCACATTTTTACGTTAAAAATTGATTTCCGTCAAATTAGTTTATACAACAATAACAATAACTAGAAGAGAGAGATAGAGATAGAGAATGAAAACCGTAAACGGTCGTCCATACCGAATTGACTCTTCTTTTTTTTTTTTTTTTTGATTATCAATTATTATTACATCCGTTATTGTCATTGTTGACCTTAGATTTTTATTGTCATTATGATGATTTTTGTAAATGTAAACAGGACAGGACATTTCATTTATTCATTCATTCATTCATTTCATGCAAACAAAAATTTTTTTTTTTAAGAAAAAAAAATTAATTTCGCAATTGAATCGATTGCTTTGGCTGCAAAACGAAATTCTCATCATTTTTTTGGGGGGTTTTGGTTTTCTCTATTAATCCCCATTTAATTTATGAGCATCGAATTCAAACCATTGAACTCTTCATTGAAGATTTGATGAACGATATCTCTCTTTTCTGTGTGTGTGTACGAACCGGATTTTTTTTCAATTTATTCAACTTGATTTCGATGAACGAAAAAAAAAAATCAATCTCCAATCAATCTGCCGACAAATATAATATACCACCAACGTCGTCTATGATGATGATGATGATGTGGTCTATTCGGCTGGTTTATTTATGAATGAAAATGGTCAATAATAAATGATAATAAAAATACCGGTGGCATGTTTTTTTTAAATGAAATAAAAAAAACGAAAAAAAAAAAAAGTTATTTTGTGCTTGACTTGACTTGAATTGCCTGTATATCATTTTTTTTTTGTATTGTATCTTTTTCTCCTTGGTGGCTTGGCCAGGATTCATACCTGCATGAAGAACCACACACACACACACACACTTAATTCATCAAAATGAACTTATCTTTTAATATTCAATAATCTACTGTGGACACTGTTATATTGTTTGTTTGTTTTTTTTTTGTTAGTTGAATCTTTGTGTTGATCTGGTCTCTCATTGATGACAGTTATTTTTTCCTGCCAGTTTGTCATCATCTTGTTTATTTTATCTATCTGTCTCTCTCTCTCTCTCTCTCTGTGTGTGTGTGTCTTTGTGTTGACAAATTTTTTTTCTTTCTTTCTTTCTTTCTTCTTGGTCCAATTGTTCTTTGTATGGTTGTTTTTTTTCATTTTATTTTATTCTTTTGTCATATTTCAATGTTTTGTTTGACGATTTTGTCAACAGTAACAGATAGATGATATAATTGAGTTTTATCTATTCAGGTTATTCATGCCAATAAGGTCAATCTCAATCAATCGATCAATAAGCTAGTTGGAAAAAAATATATCATTGGAATATTGTTACATTTTTTTTTTGAACAATTTCATCCAATGCCAATGAAATTGATTGATTTGGAATTTTTATTTTTTTTTTCACATGTGGACCATCACATTGTTCCATACATTTTCATAATGTTCACATTTCATTTTCAATTATTGGCAATTTGTCTGCTAAACAAAAAAAAAAAAAAAATCAAAATAATAATTTCTGTGTTGACAAGCCACCATATATATATATGCATGTTTAATATTGTTTGTGAATGATTCCAAAATTCAACAACAACAACAACAACAATTAATTGAACTGAAATTAGTTAAATAACGAATGAATAAAAACCACTAAAAACCTGATGATGATAATAATAATAATAATCTCCAGGATGTTTGCCAATTTTATTACCACCATTTTGAGATATATAGAAATGGAGAAAAAAAAACGACATGGTCATAAAAAAATCAAATTTTTTTTGCAAATAAATAAATGTTATGAGATCTTAACTTGATGATGATGATGATGATTTTTTTTCGATTTCTTTCCATGATGATGATGATGAGAAAATTTGAAATTATAATTAAGCTATATAAAAAAATTGAATGAACAACAGCAACAACATGTGTTTTTTATTTTCAAATGTTTTTCTTTTTGGTTTTGTTTATGATGACAGCATCAACAATAATAATTGATCTGGTGCAAATGATGATGATGATGATGATGATGAATCTGGAATTTTATTACCCAATCAGCACTGCATCATTTTATATATACATGAATTCTTTCAATTCAATTCAATAGATAGGTGTGCGTGTTAGATATGAAAAATTCCGCAATTTTTTTTCTCTCTGTGATGCATATTTTTTTTTTTTTTTTGGACGCGTGTCTCGTGATCAATTGGTCCATTTTTGTTGTTGTTGTTGTTGTTGAATGGTCTACATATTTTTTAGAATATCCATGATGATGATGATGATGATTTCGGCATTGCCAAGAATTTCTTCTTTTTTTATTACCCGATAAAATAAAAGATCATCATCATCATCATCATCATCACTGGTCATATCTGGTGGAAATTATTATTATTATTATTATGACCATTTCATTTTTTTTTCACAAATGAATTATTATTTCAATTTCAAACTAATAAAAGTTTTTTTTTTATTTTCTGACTTTGAATGAAATTATGAATTTATTTTTTGTTTGCTTGTTTGCTTGTGATTCAGATGATTCGATAATCATGTTTTTGATCAAAGAAATACTTTTTCTGTCTGTGTTTGTGGAACATAAATCCTGTGATGACCACCATATGTCAATGTTGTTTTTTTTATCCTTTTTTTTCTACTCTTCATCCATATTATGACATGATATTCATTGATTTTTTGTACAATTTTTTTTTTCATTCATTCATCTCTATGATGTGTTATGACAGTGGGGGGAAAAAAAAATTCCGAAATCTTATAAAGTTATTTAGTTCAGAATCAGCAGGTGATTATTATCAGTCCGATGATGATGTTGTTGTTGATGCCGAATCTGTGTTTTTGTGTATGCGACCGAACAACATGATGTTGTTCATTTTAATTAAGACAAACACAAACAAGTCTGATGGTCAATGTAAAATGAAATGAAATGAAAACATTTAGCCGATTCAAGAATTGCCAAAAAAAAATCAATTTAATCGAGAAAAAACATCATCATCATCATCATCATCATCATTGAAAGATTAGCAGTTTGATTAATTAAAATCAAAAATCATATTGACAATTGTTTCTTGTACCAATCTCAATGGTTGAAATTTTTGTTCAGAAAAAAACCAACCCGAACACATTATCTCGGGTATTGAATGTTGAAATTTTCAACAACAACAAAAAAGCCAAAAAAATTTAACTCATTCAAAATATCAAACATTGTAGACAATAATCGATGCTTGAACAACCATGATCATCATTTTCCATTATTATCATCATCATTATCATCATCATCAGAAAATGGTAAATCTTGAAAAAAGTTAGATAAAAAAAAAAAACAAATTATTTAGCTTTTTATATTTGAAAATAAATGCTACGGATCATTAGTTTTAAATAATAATAATAAATATTAACTCATCGTTGACACACGACAATCAAATGGGGAGAAGAAGAAGAAGAAGGAGAAAAATGATGTTTAGGCAATTCTATTCAATGAACAAATGATTCGAATGGATGGATGGATGGATGGATATCAATTGACTCTGTTTTTTTTTTCATTTCTTGATTGTTTTTTTTTCTCGGATAACTCATAAACACACAAACACAGGCAGTAC